AACATTAAGGCTAGGACCCAACACAATATTTCACAACTCGGAAGAGGGATGTCGTAATCCAATTGCAAAATATTTGAAGGTAGGTAAATGACGATTTACCAACTTCCACCATGAAAAACGAAATTGATTATTAAGCTTTAAATGAATTGAAATTCCTAGATTCTTTGAGATTCATTGAACTTTTCAATGACATGTTTAAATCTCGATTATTCCCTTCAAGTTTGTGACTGGGATACCGAGGATCACAAACAATATGTGAATAACCATGCAAATTGCTTGGTACTCTTGATGTCACTTATCACCTAATCAATGTGTCGGTTAACCATACACGCTCCATCGATCTATGACAAACATCAAGCTACCCTTTGCCACCCTTGTCATCCCAAATTAGTGTGTCGGTTAACCACACATGCTCCACTAACGACTTGGCAAGGTGCAAAGTGCAATTTCATGGAATAGCACCATTTTCACATTTTTCCTAAAGTAACTAAGATTGGGAATTTATAAAGGTTTAGTTAATTTATAATTTCATTATACTTATTAATGAGGATTAATGTCCTATCCTACCCATTCGGCTAACGACCCTCCACCAGTCAAGGAAGCGGTGGGTGAGAGTGGACACCCATTAAACCACCATTTTATAGGCAGTATCCTTATACCCCCCCCCCCTTATAGACCGGCTTCGCGAATGAGACCTACTAACGGTAAGACTGACTTGTCTTATACATATATATATAAGTATTAAACTTTAATATTATAATAGTATAGGGTTGAATTTTAAACTTTTAAAATTATAGGGTTTGGAATCAAAGTTTCATAAATGTGACTCTTTAAATTTCAAAACTTGAGGGCAAGTTTTGAAACTCTTCAAAACCTCTTGAGTTTTAGAATTTATGTTACATAAATGAGACTTTTCAAGTTCCATAACTTGAGGACAAGTTATGAACTCTTCAAGACCTTTGCAATTCCATAACTTAAAGAGTTTAAAGTTTCATGAATGTGACTTTTCATATTTTATAACTTGAGGACAAGTTATGAATCTCTTCATGAACCACTTAGATCAAAATATAAACTAATACAATTATTATATAACTTATCATTTACCAATTTGACCTAATTTAAATGTTATTGCAAGACAATTCTAATCAAATAATACAAATAATCATATTGACATATAATCAAAACATTATCTTAAAATTTGATAATTGTCTTTTTAATTTTGGATGATGGAAATCATTACATTATCACAAAAACAATTTTTAATAGTCAAAACAGTTTGTGGTAATGATTCTAATCTAAAACATGGCCAAAAAACTGAAAAAATCGTCCACTGAACAGTTACCACGTCGTGGTAACATTGACCACGTCGTGGTCACCAGTCAGAATCCAAAAAAAAAACGATTTTTCTTGCTTTGAAAAATTACCAATGCATCAATATAATAGAAAACAATCCTAGGCTCTGATACCACTATTGGGTTTTAAGCACTATAACACTCTGATGGTGCACATGCAACCCTAGATGCTTTGGATCTAAGTTTTCTCTAATTATACATGCAATTTCATTTTTCCAAAGCACACACCCTAACTAGCATACAATTGAAGATATACAACATAAAACAAAGTTAGATGAATACCTCTTAGTGTAGCTTGTAGTTCTTGGCCTTCAAAAGCTTTAGCGCATCAAATGTGATGCCTCTAATGTGTCACAAACACCAAATACAAGAGGAGGCTTATGAGAAGTGGCTAGATAGCACAAAATCGGTTACGACTCTTCACAAGAATGCATGAGGGCTGATTTTAGGGGTTAAGGGGTTGCTTTTATAGTGTGGCAAAGACTAGGGTTTCATCCATGCAAACCCTAATACACCATGACCCTTCATATTTCTTAGGCCCCATGGGTTAAACCTTCATGGACTATCATATAGGTTTAGCCCATCCTAATCAACCATGTATCGTTAGCCCATACTATAAGTATCATTGATTTACTTAATCAGTCTCCGTAAATTTAATCAGTCTTTTTTGATCACTAAATTAATTCCAAATCAATTCTTGATCAATACTAATCAAATAATATGAATTCTCAATTAATATATTATACTTATAATATATTAATAACTCACAAATAACCTCTTTCTCAAAAGTCCATTCTATCAAATTGCTCTGGTAAAGGCAACCCATAAGGAACATGCTACTATCGGGTCAAGTACATATCAGTTATAGTTATGGGCTTAAACACCTAATCCAATAGAACAGTGAGTAGATAATTGATACGAGTCGAAGGTTGAGCATGAACTAATGGCTGATTATGAGTTAGAGGTTGGGCAAGGTCTGAAGATGGAGTAAGAGACGGAGGATAGGCATGAGCCAAAGGTTGAGCAAGAGCCAAGGGCTTGATAGGAACTAGAGACCGAGCAAGATCTGGATACTGCACACGATGTAGAGGTTGGGTAGCACCCAAAGGCTAAGCAGGTTCCGTAGTTGGAGTATGAATTGGAGGCTGGGAAGGAGTCGAATGTTGAGTAGGGACCGGAGGATTATCAGGAGTCGAAGGCTGGGCAGGATCCAGTGACATAAATTAAGTAGGAGCGGAGGCTGAGCAGGACCTAAAGGTTGAGTAGTATCTAGATGCTAAACATGTTCCAAAAGTATAGTAGGAGTCGATGGTTGGGTAGGAACCAGAGGCAAAGTAGGAGTCGGATGCTAGGTATGATGTTGAGGTTGGGTAAGACCTAAAGGTTGAGTAGGGTCCATACGCAGAGTAGGAGTTGAAGGTTGGGCATGAACCGAATGTTGAGCAAGGTTTGAAGGATTGGCAGGAAATGGAGGCTAGGCATAACCATTAGTAACTTGTACCATACAACTCCACAATATGTTTGGTGAGTTATGTATACATTGACAAACCATTAATTGATGATATTTTGTGCTAAGATTGCTCAAGAGAAATGATTTCTTTTGTCTACAAAGAAACATATGATTTCTACTATGATCGGTACAAGTGTTTAATATGGACAAAATTAGATTTTGTTTTTGGGGTTTTTTCTGGAGGTAAAGATATATGAACCTTTTAAACGATCATGGAAAGGTTTTGAAGTAGGTTCATGTCATTTTGGCCTAAGAGCTTACACGAGAACACCGATAAACATGAATCTACATGAATTTAATTTGTCTGTATGTTTATACATGTTTATGCGTGTTTATACATGCCGCATGTCTCGTGTTTATATGTGTCGTGTGTCAACACGACTTTAATTTGTGTCTATACTTGTTTAAACATGTAAATTCGTGTTTGACATGGGTAAGATACGAAACACAAATTTAAATTTTGTGTCGACACGAATAAACATGAAACATGAAGTTCTAAAACCCATACACAGATAACTCATGACTTGTGAATCTTATCGTGTATCAAATTACCGAGTCTACATGTAACAAGTTAATGTACTATTTCATTTGTCTACGTTTGTTTTACTGAAACATAATACTCCCGTTAACCAATGGGCCCAATATTACAAATTTTAATTATTTACTGACATTATCATCCATAACCTTCTTTTATTTACTCAAAATACAAGATTATTCATACATATTTATGTGGTTTATATAATTATATCGTGTAAACGCTTATATTCTCTTTCCATTAAAACTGCGTGTTGAATGAACAGATCAGTTAAAGTAGTACAATGAATGAAACTTAATATAACCATGTCGCTTGTTGCTTTACTCAGTGCACCTAAGGCAAATCATGAGCAATCCCATATTAGATTCTTGTAAACAAAAACTATACAGTAAATTATGCCGACATTATATATACACAATAAGCGTAATATATTAGGGCAAAGAAAGGGGTAGAAACATTGAACCTTGTTGAAATCATGATAAACACCACTACTAATACTATAGTTGGTATGATCTCATGATCATAAAGTTAGTGGTGATAAGATTGTTGAATCTTATACCACATTTAAGGAAATCTTTAAAAAAGAGATATGTTGAAATGTCTATGTCTTTGACTTCCCCTATGGGAAACTTTACCTATTCATATGATTAAGTGGTGTGCACTCAAATTGTAAATGTATTTACCATGATTTCAGGTAATAATTGTTTGTTTCACAAGTGTTGGGATCATTTTATTTTTATTATAACTTTTTTTGTTAGTTTTTTAAAACTAAAATAATCAGAATTCAGAAAGCAGGTAAATTATTTAGTCTATTTTTAATTTTTTTTATGCCTTGTATTGATTAGTGTTGGTATATATGTTCTTAATCTCGAAGTAATCTTTTATTCTAATTATGTTACCATTTGTGAAATTGTTTTTTTATAGGTTTAGTGTTTTTAATGAAAAAAACGTGTAAAACAAAATGTCAAACCTCTTGTAAACCATATATAACTTTTTTACTTTCATCATATTCATAAATGTTTTGTTTTTATTACTCGTACTTATATACTTTGATTATTTGTTTATTTTTTGCTAGGATATAATATATGCATAATCTCAATCTGAAGTATGATATTACGTATATCTTTGATGTCATGATTGTCTATCAAATACTCAATAGCAAACTATTAACAAAATTTAATTATTAATAATGTCGTGACATACATACATCCTATTTTCATATATACATATATACATATTTTTCGTCAATACTTTAATAATTTGATTGTAATTTTCATATTTATATGGTTTGATTTTAGTTATTTTCTACATCGATTAAAACTGTTTTACTAATTTTATGTTCCAATTTTGCAAGTAGATCTTAACCTATGAGTAAATACTTGTTTTATAACATAGCTACTAGCTGGCATATTTATAAAAGGTTATAATATTGTTTAGGGTTTATTGGGAAGATAAACTTATTATTGCAATTGACCTACTGCTTATTTTTTCATAGAAAAATAACTTTCCTAAAGTTTCTTGGAAAGAAATGTAAATTAGTATTTTACTTTATTTGATCATTTAAGCATAGTATTTCCTTTAGCTTTGAAACTTCCATACTTTGCTTTCTATAGATTTTTACTAAGAATAATAACTTTTAAATATGAAATAAACCTTAGAATTAAAGTTACATAGAAGAATTGAACTACGATTCATATTATAACATGAGAACGTGTACAAAACTTGATCACTTCCCCTCTGATTATGGCAATACAACAGGTTCGATCCTCCAAATGTCACGTGCGTATTGATGTATAGTCCGGTCACTACTGAATTTGTATGAACCAGCAGTATTCAAGATCGACATCTTTGTCCATTTCTGCCACATTTACGAATTAAAAATTAAAAAAAAAATGCTTATTGACAGATTTTAAGCCCAATTCTTGTGGTAATATTTATTACTCACGTTTTGGTCTCTATATGCCTTATCAACCTCCTCTTGACACTCAATATAAGCAGGAAAATCTTTCCCCACAAGAAAATAATCAGCACGACCATATCCTTCATTCCCTTCCAATGATCCCATGAGTTCGTCATAACTGTATCGCCCAAAAACACCACTTCTCACGTATTCCTTCACCTCCTCAAATCGTGGATCGGGTACAAACTAAACTAGTAAGAAATATTAATCAACAAATCGTTATTTGTTTTAAGGGTAAATTAGTCTTTTTTATTTATAAGCTCACCTTCCCCTCGGATCTCTCCTTGCGTAGGCCAGAAATTTCATGAGCTTCAGCACCAAAAAGGAAAAAGTTTTCTTCTCCAACTTCTTGTCGTATTTCAACATTGGCACCATCCAGAGTTCCAATTTGGATGCACCCGTTCATTGCAAATTTCATGTTGCTGGTCCCACTTGCCTCCATTCCAGCAGTGCTAAGAATCAAAAACAGCACCAATTAATTATTTCATACATTTAAAAAAAAAAATGATAAATCGTAATAAGCATGCCTGATGTGTTGGGATAGATCACTTCCAGGAATCAGAACTTCTGCTACTGTCACATTGTAATCCGGGACAAACACAACCTAAAATAAATTTAAATTTCGATTTCAGTGACATGACCATTTTCATTTTTCCCAACAAAAAAAAATATGTACACCTTCAGGAGATCTCCAATGTCAGGATCATGGTTTACAGTAGCACCAACATCATTGATGAATTTCACGATCCTTTTGGCTTGAACATATGTAGCAAATGCTTTTCCTCCAAATATACATACTCGAGGAACAAATTTCTCTTTTCTTTCATCGCCACTCATTTCCTTCATCTTTTTATATCTGTAAACAATTCCCAAGATATTCAACAGCTGTCTCTTGTATTCATGAATACGCTTCACCTGCACATCAAACATTGCATCCGGGGTGACAAGATATCCGGTTTTTTCCTTCAAAAAAGACACAGTTCTCTCTTTGTTCATCCTTTTGGCTTTCCTCCATTCGGATTGTAGTTCTTCATCATCAGCAAACTGTAAAATAACAAATAATAAAACTAAAATTCTTAATTACTTGAAAGAATTAATGGGAAAGACAAAATATGTAATCCCACCTTTTTAAGTTCAATTAGCTTTTCGGTATTTAACACCCAATCTTCTGTTCTTGTCCACTTGGTTATGATTTTACTTAGCTCTGGATTACAGAAACTCAACCATCTTCTTGGTGTCACCCCGTTTGTCTTATTTTGAAACTTCTTAGGCCATAGCTGCATTACAAAAAGGGTTAAATCATAAATACAAGAAATAGGTAAATTTATTTACTTATTAAAATTTAAATTACCTTATAAAAGTCATTGAACACTTCATTTTTCACTATTTCAGTATGGATTTCTGCAACCCCATTGACAGCGTGTCCACTGACTACACATAAATTAGCCATTCGCACCATTTGTGGAAGCTTTGGGTCCGGATCAAATGTCACTTTTGCCCTAATATCAACATCCTTTTCCTCCTTCACTTTGAGATCATTATTTTCAGTTTTTGGTAATTCTGTTACTTCTTCAGAAATCTTTTCTTCAAGTGAATCAACAATGGTGATTTCTTCAGGTTTAACAATAAACTCCAAGATGGAAGCAGGTAGTTCAATGTTTTCCAAAACTCTCATTTGCTTCAGTTTTTCTTTCAGCAATTCAAGGTCTTCAGTACCATACTCAGCAATGATGGTATCAATCAACTGAGCAAAAAAAAAAAATTTACCATTTGTTTTTGAGAAAAATAAAAGATGATTCCATAAGAAAATGTTGAAAAATACCTCGTTGTCAATCATTTTTATTATCTCAACATGGCGAGGAAGTAGTTCCTGAAGAAGATTCAAACTCCACTTCTCTAGAGCCTCAGGTAGAACAGTGTGATTTGTGTATGCCACAGTTCTGCAAGATGTTGATGAATACTCATTAAACTTTTGTACTTTTATATTTTTCTTATTAAAACATTCTACTCTTAAAAATCTATCCAATTATAGCAGTAAAAAATGCTTTGTATTTGGATGACGTTTTTGCAACATGGTAGATTGTTTGAAGTACAATGTTGTAAACTTGTAATAGGAAGACATGAAAGTAGGATTGATATAACAATTAACAAACAAATAAATGAATGTATATATGTTGGTATTTCATGTATTTGGTAATTATGAACTTCACCTTTGAGTGATTGCCCATGCTTCTTTCCATTCCAAACCCTTAAAATCCATTAATATTCTCAACAACTCTGGTATGCAAAGTGTGGGATGAGTGTCATTCATCTGTACAGCAACTTTTTCAGGAAATTCATTCCAATCTAATGACTCCCCTGATCTCCTTTCAAATCGTGCAATTATATCTTGAAGAGAAGCAGAACAGAGTGTATATTGTTGCTTCAATCTAAGAGTTTTCCCTTCAAGTGATTCATCTCCAGGGTATAAAATGTAGCAAATCTGATAGAAAAACATAATGGATCTGTTTAGTTGGAAGGAATGGAATTAACCATTCCATTCCTTCTCTGATTCCATCCTACCAAACACTAATAAAACTTAAAAAAACAAACCTTCTCTGCTTTTTTTAGGGCTTCATAAGCTTTGGCATGATTTCCATCATTAAAAGCATGTAAATCGAAATTTTCTGGTCCAACTTTTGTTGACCATAATCGTAGGTTGATAGTTGTTTTGGTTTTATACCCAGGTATTGGCACATCATATGCAACAGCAATAATATCTTCTCCACCAACCCATGTCTTATGTCCATCTTTGCCCTTGACAATTTCACCATAAAACTTTATAGGATAAGAGACATCATTCCTTGGTACTTCCCATGGATTTCCCATCTGTAAAATATGATAAAAATATATTTACAAGATGTAGAAAAAGATAATTATGTATTTGAAGAATGTTAGGTAATGATTAAATGAAACCTCAAGCCAGTTTTCTGCAACTTCTTCTTGACCATCTTTTGTAATGAGTTGCTTAAAAAGTCCATATTTGTAACGAAGACCATAACCCCATGCAGGGTAATTAAGTGTTGCTAAGGAGTCCAAAAAGCAGGAGGCAAGTCGACCTAAACCACCATTTCCAAGTGCTGCATCAGGCTCCTGTTAACTACTAATTGATTAAGACACTATTAAAAAAAATTAAGTGATTAGAGTTCCAAATTAAATGTCAAATTATGTACCTAAGATGCCATGTGATAATCATTAATAAATACTATAATAAGAAAAAACTAAAATACAATACTGTAAAATCTAATAAGCTCACCTGCCTAGCAACATCCTCCAGATCATGACCCAGATTCGTTAAAGCCTCAGCATAAGCTCCTGAAAGCTCTAAATTACCAATGGCATTTAGCAATGCTCTGCCCTATGAAAATCAAGAAAAAAGAACATTAAAGTATAATATCTACTAAGAAGTAAACAGGGTGACAAAATAGAAGACTACAACAAACCTGAAGAAACTCCATAGATAAGTAATAAGCCTGCTTCACATTCATCTTTTCATGGAAATTGTATGTAGCATTCCAATTAGTGATGAGCATATCACGAATGCTTTCAGCAGTAGCATAGTATGCTTTTGGAAGCTCAAATTTTTCTGGAGAGAATGATGGTGTGAACTCTGCATGGTATTTGATGCTTGATATAACAGATTCAGAATCAGGAACAAGAATCCCATTATCTAAAGCATCTGTTGTTTCTGCATGACAAAAAAAAGCTTAAAATCTTTACCATTACACTGGAATTATGATGATAGCTTGCAAAGAGGTAAACTTGGAGTAAAAGCATTATTTAAGAGTACTAAAGTTGCATATGGAAGAGTACTAGGCTCAAATTCTGAAATCAAACATGAGGCTCTGTTTTCTCTTTGATGAAGGGATTATATAATTCACATTTTTATGTTTAAAATCAGCCAAAAATAAGTGAAGCTATCGGTATTAACACTAGATTTCTTAGACTAATTACATATAATCTTTGTACTGTTTAAATTGGAGAGAAAAACACGTTCAGCTGCGCGATTGTACAATAAAAAACTGTTCCATTGACATTGCAAGTTATACTCGAAGATATATAAAAATAACCTCAAGAGAGCAATCCTGAACAATTAAAAATCATCAAAACTAAGAGATATACAATGTAAATGTAACTAATAACACCTTGAATCGACTGATCTGGAGATTTTTGAAGCCGTTGATTTCTGCTAGCGACGTTAGTCACAGCGAAATTCCTTCCTCTAGGGCGTATCCTCCTGCTCAATTTGAACTTCAACAACAACAAATTTTTGGAGTGTTCGCTATTGAAACTGGAATCGACTATGCTTGATTTTGAAATGTAGCTCGTGGCAGAGAAAGATGAAGCTGCCATTGTTATTGATACTCTCCCCACTTTCTCACTCTACAAACTACTGATATCAAGAATGGAGATAGAGAGAGGGAACGAGTGGAGAAAAATGGCGATCATTGAATCGAAGGGAAGATATGATATTAAGTGGTGGCTTCGTCGTCTTCTGGTCTTCGTCTTCTACTCCGGTCGCCGTCAGTTCACGGAAACTTTTTGCAATTGATCTGCTCCTTAACTTGTCTATTTTTAGTTTAAATTTATCGAATATTTATTTTAGTAATCTTAATACAAGAACAAATTTTTGAAATTTTCAAATTTAAATGACATCAAATGTTAGTGATATTATCATTTGATTAAAGTATTAGGTTTTTTTTTTAATTGTAAGCATAATATTACATTTTTTTATAAAAAAAAAATAGTGTGTACCACAAAATTCATTATTTTGTATGTGTTACATATTTATTAAACAAGTTGTTACATAAAACGTTTATTATTTTGTAAATAAAGTATATGGGGACCATGGAAGTTGGAAACGAATCATAGTTGAAGATATTTTGGATATGAAGAAAAGTTTTGTATTTGTTGATATTCAAAAATGTACCCTATACAACCTGTTACCTACCTCCACTTCTTGACATGTACTGCATGTGTCCTTTCGCAATTGCCATGGGTTCCTCGCTGCTGTACTAAATCTAGCCATTAACATTTTGCTACATTTTCATGAATAGCCATTTGGAAGCCAAAAGTATTAGAAACTAAAATTAATATTCTTATACATAAAAAAATATTATCATTTTTAGCAATTAAACATCAAAAATACCTAAAATTACAGATCTTATACATGAAATAAAAAAAACAAAAATTTTCAGCAATTAAAAACCAAATTACCGTTCTTATGAAATTGTATGATTTATATGATTGTATCTATTAAAATAAAAATTGAAATCATCATCTCATGAACCAACATGCTACATTCTGCAACAATCTATCTAACATAACAATGTTCATAACCTAAATTCTACAATATCTCTAAATATTATTAAAAGATAACATTTAATTCACCAATGAAGCAATCAGGGCCATTGATTGTGTTTTAATCCTATATTTTTCACCATTAGATCAACTGCTGACATCATTAAAAGAGAACCTTTAATTCACCAATGAAGCAATCAGGGCCATTGATTGTGTTTTAATCCTATATTTTTCACCATTAGATCAACTGCTGACATCATCTTCCTAAATTAAATTCAAACACAATTACATTTAATTATAGAATCTGTAATAATTATAGAATCTTTAAATTCAATAATTATTTATCAATTGAAACATATCATTCTATTTATATACATGATATCAATTTCTCTAATTAATATTGTTCCTAATTTAACAATCTTATTTATAGCTTTTAATTTTCAAATTCAAACCCGTTTATATTTTATTATTTATTTATTTATTTTTTAAAAAACTAATTAAACAAAAATATCAATAATTAAAGTATTAACCTATAAAATCTAATCTAATCTCATTAAATCAGCAAAATTCAATAATTAAAATTCAAACACAATTACATTTAATTATAGAATCTGTAATAATTATAGAATCTTTAAATTCAATAATTATTTTATCAATTGAAACATATCATTCTATTTATATACATGATATCAATTTCTCTAATTAATATTGTTCCTAATTTAACTATCTTATTTATAGCTTTTAATTTTCAAATTCAAACCTGTTTATATTTTATTATTTATTTATTTATTTTTTAAAAAACTAATTAAACAAAAATATCAATAATTAAAGTTTAACCTATAAAATCTAATCTAATCCCATTAAATCAGCAAAATTTAAGAGTCAAATTAAAGTCAATATTATTTATAATTTATCTCTCAATATATCCCACATAAAATGAATCAATTTGAGAGTATTGTTGGAATTTTAAAACTGATTAAATAAGAAAGTCAATTAATTTGAAGTTTTGAATTAATATAGCTGATATCTTTTTTTTTCCAAATGAATAGCCGAAAATCTCCAAGATGATATCTTAAGATCCCAATTTTTTTAGAAGATAATGATTTCCTTCTTCAAAAACACCCTATATATACGATTACACTGAAGTGGTTATTCTTACGATTTTGGATTGAGTCCTATGATTTACAGTGTTCTTCTTGAGCAATCTTTTTCTCCAATTCTTTTTTTCAAGCTCTTACTTTACTCTATTCTCCTTATTCTTCTTCAATTTATTGTGTTTACTATGTTCTTATTATTTGTTATTACTGTGTTCTTGTTGAGAGGTCATAAAAAAATAATCAATATACTTTAAACATATTAGTTTCATTCATTTAGTTACAGAAACCAAATTACACCCGTTATATCGATTTTTTAATGTGTTGACCTATGTTTGTCAAGAAAAAGCCATAAAAGTCGTTTTAATGCATGATGACAAAGCTAGTGGAACGGATCAAAAGCAAGATAAAGAAGTTTTTTATTGTTACACTTCAACTTGCATGAACAAAGATGTATCTGTTGTTTCAAGGTTTTCAGTAACTCTTATATATATATATATATATATTATAATCTTCGATTAAATTTTCAAATTTTATATTATTGAATTTGTTTATATCAATGGTTTTAGTTTCAAAATCACCATTATAGTACAAGACTTTACCGGCGTGGTGTCACTTACGTTATTTGATCATGACGCAAAGAAACTTCTGGAAAAAAACACACACAAGAGTTGCTTCGAAAGTTTAATGAGGTTATCGGTATTAACTTCATTTATATAAAACTAATTTTTATTTTTTGTCTGTCTATTTTTATAACCGTTCATTTTTCCATTTTTAGTAGGGTAATATGAAGATTTATCCGTCTGCTTTGAAATTACTTTTGGATAAAAAGTTTCCGTTCAAAATTCAAATTTCTCATTATAATTTGAAGATCAGTGTTGATGGTTATGCAATCTCAAACTTCAATGTTGATAATAAAATCACTGTTGAATTGAAAAAAAAATTAACATCGAACATGTAACATTCTTTTATGAAACTTACTACAAACACTACACTTATTCGATTCATTTTTTATATTTTAGTTGATCAACTAACATATGTCTATGTACTACAAATATAGGCGCCGTAATCCGATTCGTTTAACGTTTTATCGGCGAAATTCGGATGTCAAGACACATTAAATTTAAAGGTTTTAAATATAATATAACTAAATCTAATATTTTAAATACTTTAAAATATTATTAACTTTTAGATTGACATATGAATTTATTTTCTATATTTAGGATGCAGTTTCGTTTACTGGTGATAACGTCACACTGGCTTCGAATCTTGATAAAAGTATTGTAACAAGTCCACTAACTAAGTGGACATCCTTTAAAAAAGTGTCTAGACATGAAGAATTAAAACACAATTTGGAAGATGTTTACGATGTTGATAATATGGAAACAATGTCCTCAACCAAATGATCATTAACATCAATGACATATCGTACTTCTGGAGAAGGCAAACCAAAACTGATATCCAAAGACAAATAATATATGATTTTCATGATTTTATATGAGTAGTTGGGTGATTTGAGTACATTTGATTTCATATTATGTTTACATACTATTTAGTTTTTGGGTTTGTTTTTTGATTACTTTGTTTCATACTATTCGTTTTATGGGTTAGAATTTTGATCATTTAAATACATTTTGGGTTTTATGAAATGTTGAATTATTCATCTATTTGCCTTTTGGGTTTAAACTTATATGAATTTAGAATTTTAATCATTTTTACTCTATTATTCCGTTTGAATGTGAATTTGTCAGTATTGTTACAGTGTTATTCATTACAACTTCAATATAAATATTAGCAAACTACAACTTTTTATGAAATTATAAACTTTTATAAATCTTTTAACCGTTCTAAAACAATTATTTACAATTCCTTGTGAATTTATTGAAAAATTTATTAGTAAACATTTACCATTGAAATATTATTATTTTTTAGATATTAATGATATCCACAATTTTACAAATTTAAATAATAAAACTCATTACAATGACGCTAGAGAGAGGCAAAGACTAAGACTTTTACATTTTTTTTGGAAAGGGAACTTCCCTAACGAGGGTTTCCGGGCCAGCTTTCACGCACCGATTAATCCCCTACTGCGAACATGATGCTATGCCTCATGACACAGAGTTACTGCAGGCGAACCTCCATAGCCAGAGAGGCTGAGTAGTGCTAGGATTTGAACATGGGTCAATAGGTTATCCACCATATCTTCCACATGTCTTACTAAGTCACCGCAACCCAAGTGTAAAACATTTACATATACAAAATAGAAGATTGAATTCTATGTCTAAAAGAGAAACTTTATTTCATCATCTAAAGCAATAAATATTTTTTATTGAGTTTCACTTATACATTTTCCACCCTTAGATCAAATTGTTTACGTCATCTTGACCAATGTTTGGTCAAACACGTTGTCTATCAATGTTTCCGCTCAAACCTTCACCAACTTCTGTTATCCCTAAATTAAAATTAAAATCCTCCCCAAATTTAAAGCCATAACTTATGCACTAACCATCCTATATGTTTGCAAATCAATGTGATATATCTTTTTAATTATTCTATTTCTTTCTCAGTGTACATCGATGGTACCAAAATTCATCAAAGGCAAAACAGTCACCTTGTATTTAATTCTTATTAATATAGTAAATACTTCCAATTTTGAATATAATAATCGGTCTCATACATGTTAAATTACAATTGCTCGATTTCCAACTATCTAACTCAATAACTTTATGTAATTATTCTTAAACTTACCTTTTTCTATAACGTTATTGATTAGATTTACTATAATTAAGTTTAAATTGCAAAGATTTTTTACTTGAAAGTGATGAGCATTAGTTGATGTTTTTATTGAAGCTTGAGGATGATGCAAAACTCAAAATCCCTTAGTGGTAATATCCTACATACTTAATAATTGATTATTTTGGACAAAAATACTTTCCTTTAACTTTGATAACAAAATTTTTGAATTAAGCATATTTTTATGATTATAAATTTGTTTTCTCTACTCACTTGTACTTATCATCCTGAAGATGAGAAAAGATTAACCATGTATAT